CATTTGATTTTAAATGAATGTTTAAATCTTTTTTTGTTTTTCATCTACAGAAGATCAACCAGATGTTGGCTGGACCACCAATGGTTAGTTTTAGACTTTAGTTAGTCGTTACTTTAGTAAAGCTAGATGGCAAAAAATGGTAGAAAATGAAATTTTAGTCAAATTAGTCGATTATTGATTTGAGTAGAATTTGATTAGATTAGGTTTTTTGGCTTTTTTCATTCTTATTTTTGTCAATTTTAAATTACTGACTTCCTCACTGTATGTATGTACATTTTTCATGTAATGTAATCTGTAATGTAATGAAACATTAGTGGAAAAAAATTAAATACATAAAAAAAATTATAATTCACTTTATATTCATTTAAGAATTTATAAAGCAATAAATATATTATTTGTTCCAGGAGTTGAGAAAATTTTTCAGCAGGGAGAAAATGGAGTTTTTGGTAATAACTGCACATTCCGAGGTTCTTACTTGAGCACCGTAGCAGCCAGAGTATTTTTCGACTACAATGTGCCACTCCCTAGTGGACTACTTACTAAATTTTATTTCTTCGTTCAAGACACAACGACTGCTATAGAAGTAGGTAGCAATAGGTTAAAGCTTCAAATATGGAGGCCAATTTCATTAACCAACAACCCAGTTATGTTCTTGGTCTGGCAAAAAGCTATTGTTCTACCCATAAACAATTCACAACCAACACTCTATACTGTGAGTTTTTATTTTCTCTTAAATCTAAATTAAATTATTTTATTTATCTTTGTTTATATTTATTAAAAATATTTCCTTTGTTCAGTATACCCTAAAAGAATTAGTTAGCATGTTGTCTGGAGACAAATTCATTTATTTTTTAAAAATATTTCCTTTGTTTAGTATACCCTAAAAGAATTAGTTAGCGTGTTGTCTGGAGACAGAATTGGTTGGCAATACGATGGCGATGTTGGTGTCATTTCTTTCAGTTACCTCAACACTCACAGAGTTTTTGCAACTTCAGCATATGTCGGTCAGAACCTAAACATCAGTCAAAACATCACATTCGACTCGATCCCTCTTCCCAATGTTTTCTCCATTGCAGTTAATGTCCTGCTAGGTTCTTACATTCACTTTTCTGTATCACAATGGTTTAGCTGATATTAATAAATATTATTGCAATGCACTTTTAGTTTTTTCAAATGTATTCAGATTTTATTGTGGCTTGATTTAATGCTTTAGTGTTGTATGAATTTCAGAATCATTTGGCAATCCCGGCCCACCTGGTGAGAAAGGTAACACGGGCTCCACAGGTCCAAGGGGCAGTCCTGGGGATATTGGTTTGTTAGGATTAGATTCTATTTAATGTATAATACAATGTCTTTTACTACTTTTAACTTTTTTAACTTATTTGCAGCAATTAACTCTCACTAGGATTCTGTTAGCATTATAAAAGTGAAAATGTTAAGCATTTGAAAAAAAGACATTTATTGGTCGTTATTAAAAGTTTTAATCACAAAATCCCATGTTCAGGACTTCCTGGTGCAACTGGCTTACCTGGACAAACAGGTTCTCCTGGCACGGGTGCCACAGGGTTCACTGGTGTAACTGGACCGCCTGGATTGTTTGGACCTCCAGGAATATCAGGACCGTCAGGATTTCAGGGTGGTAGTGGAGCTCCTGGACAGCCTGGTCCACAAGGTCCAAGAGGAGACACTGGTCCCAAAGGTTCTACTGGGCCCCCTGGATCTCAAGGTTTGAAGTGTTTTATCATCCAATTTCAGTTATGGCAAAATTAATTGTGGACATTATTTTTAATGATCAACATTTTTGCAACGATCACTTAGTGTTATAATACAAAAAAAAGTTTTAAATATTAGAGATATTAATATTTTAAAATCTTTTTCACAGGTCCTCAGGGACTTCCAGGCTTGCAAGGTCTTCCTGGAAATTTTGCAACTGGCAGTGGTCTTGGTCCATCTGGTCCAACTGGTCCTCCTGGGAGCCCGGGTAGTCCCGGAGCTACAGGAGCTTCAGGTGCGTTTTTTTTAGTTTCAAGTAACATATTCGACTGTAAATTTTTTATATAAACAGGTCCGCAGGGATCTCCTGGAGTTCAAGGTACCAGGGGATTCACAGGACCTACTGGTCCAACAGGACCACAAGGACCTCAGGGACCAACGGGACCCCAAGGACCATCGGGCAACGTTGGCCCACCTGGATTCAATGGTTTCCCTGGATCAACTGGTCAACCAGGATTTACTGGTGCTACAGGTGGAACTGGACCAAAAGGACTAATTGGAGATCCTGGACTTCCGGGAAGTGGATTTGCTGGAACAAGTGTTGCTGGCAATACAGGAGCCACAGGAGCCACCGGGGCAACAGGGAACAGGGGGGTTTTGGGGAACACTGGTACAACTGGAAGCACTGGTTATACTGGATATCCTGGGGCAACAGGTTCGAACTTTAAAAGCAATAAATTAAAATATTTTTCAACTTAATATATCTCATAGAAAACTTTTCTCCAGCGTTTTTGTAACGTTGTTTTCAGCCTTTATTGTGTGAAACATTCAACCAAAATGATTTATTAAAATTAATTAGTTGCACCATGTTGCAAAGGAATAGTTGAAAAATGTTTGTTTTGTTGTAAATTATCTTTCTCTTAAGTTCTTTGATAACGTTTTTTTTTTTTTAAAAAAATAAATCAGTAATGCATGCAACATAACGGGAAATTTTGATGACATCCTCGCATGCCTTCGTTCATATCAAATCAACGCAGATTGCAAATACACAGCAACTATTAAAGCTCTCCGATAATGTTGATGTATAAATCGCGTGTTTAAGAAAAATAATTAACTACTTTTTAATTATACGCGTCATCAAATATTAAGAATAGTCATCATATTGTCACAAGAGAGCGGACATTTTCAATTCTCTTTCCATTCATTTAAAATTCTCTTTTTAAGTATGCATTCAGTGTAAATACTCAACATTAACTTAGCATCAACCGTATCAATTCATTATGCAGGCATTCCTGGGGACACAGGGAACTTCGGTACTGGAGGGATCACAGGAAGAACAGGAATTCGAGGAAGGACTGGTGCCACGGGACCTATGGGATTTCCAGGAGGATCAGGAATGCCTGGCCCTCAAGGTCCAGTTGGAGCAACTGGATCTATTGGTGCGACTGGGCCCCCTGGTCCAGGTAAATCAAAATTTTTAAATATCTGTTTCTCGTTTGGCTATGTTGTGTAACGTTGAATGAGTATCATTTTAAACATTAATTTTACTTTGGTCGCGATCCATTATTTTATAAATGAAAAGCTCTAAAGAATTTTTTGTTTTTTATTTATTAAATATTAAAAACTTTTCAGTAGCAGCATGATGTCTGAAGTTTACAATTCAATTACAATTACATCCAGTTCGTTGAATCTCAGTAAAAAAGAAGCTGTAATGAAATCATGTACAAATTTAAACAGAAAGATTTTAATATATTTTCGTTGAACTCGTTAATGCGTTCATATTGGTATGTATATGCTGATGCCCTTTTGACGTTTGATATGCGAATATCGCTGCGGTTGCGTCAACATTTGAAGTTGGAAAACTACGATCGCTTGTTGTCCGTGTACAAACCCGATCGTCAAATTATATATTACAAAATTTGTGATAATTATGTTTTTCTTACAATAATTCGAAACGTTTGTAGGCTAAAATGATTTGAACACGAACTATGCTTGTACCGATTGTATAATTCTTTATTTCAAACGACAAGGTAGTATTGAAAGTTATCTTTAAAACTATCGTTAATAGCGTCAAATTTGATGCATTTCTTTTTTTTTTCTGATAGTAACTGCTTTGTATATAGAAAAGAGCGGTAGCTACTCATATCACGTGTTAGAGTAATTGCATATTTAATCACCTGCTAGAAATGACTTTTGTGCATGTGGGTTTTATTACTTTGATGGTTTTTATATATTTGTAAAGTGATTGTGTGCATGTGTCGGTCTGTCTGTGTCTGTGTGCGTTTGACATAAATGTGAATCAATAATTTCCTAAACATTTAATGATAGGAGGGGGTGGATCTCTTGGAGGCGGTGGGGACACTGGTGCAACCGGACCTAAAGGCGCTACAGGATTTTCAGGATCTCCTGGTCAAGTCGGGAATACCGGACCTCCAGGGGTTACAGGTGGGACTGGATTCACTGGTCAAACAGGTAGACAAGGACTTCCAGGAGGTACAGGTTTCACTGGAAGTTTAGGAAAGACTGGCATCAAAGGTTCGTAAATTATTAAAACATTTTTTAGAATTACTATTAGAGAATATTATAAATAAATTATCATTAAATTGCACATTTTTTGTAATAGGTTATACGGGATCAAGTGGAGTAGATGGAAGTACAGGGCCACAGGGTGCTACAGGAGGTACGGGAGCCACTGGACAGATTGGTTTTCCAGGAAATTCAGGCCTTATGGGTCCACCCGGAGATAATGGATTTCCGGGTTCAACAGGTCAAAAAGGTTACCCTGGGGAGCCAGGTTTACCTGGGAATCCTGGTATTTCTGGTGGAGCCGGTGGCACAGGCAGCACGGGAGCTACCGGTCCCAAGGGAGCTAATGGTAGTTTTGGACCTCCAGGCGACACTGGAAATACTGGAAAGCTTGGAGATACAGGATCTACCGGGTACACAGGTAGGACAGGTGCCACTGGCGCAACTGGAACTGGTGGTACGACTGGAGTGAAAGGTGCGACAGGACCAGAAGGAAGAACGGGCGTTAAAGGATCAACAGGAGGTTTAGGCCGTACTGGAATGCCAGGAACTCCAGGATGGACAGGTCCTTTTGGTTATCCAGGTTTACCGGGATCACCCGGCATAACAGGATCCACAGGGCCACTAGGTTTTACTGGTTCAACAGGTTTTATTGGTTTGAATGGTTCACCTGGAGTTCAAGGGGCAACCGGATCTCAAGGATCTACCGGTCTCAAAGGTCCGTCAGGTCCTTTAGGAAATACAGGACCTGTAGGTAGTCCTGGACTTCCTGGGCTAAGTGGAGGAGCTGGTGCACAAGGAGCTACGGGTTTTACAGGATTTACAGGATCGACTGGTTTTTCAGGACTTTCTGGATTTCCTGGTGATACTGGCAGCAGTGGGCCAATTGGAAGAACTGGATCGAAAGGGCTTCCTGGTGCAACTGGAAGGACTGGTGCGGTTGGAGATACGGGTAGAGAAGGAAGAACTGGAGTTCCTGGCAGCTCTGGTGAGCAAGGTAGGACAGGTGTATATGGTGCCACAGGTCCAACAGGTGGGACAGGGTTTACGGGAGCAACAGGAGCTTCAGGTTTGACGGGAACAGCCGGTATTCCAGGAGGTGCAGGTTCGATTGGATCAACAGGAGCAGCTGGGGCTACAGGTTCAACAGGATTGCCAGGTAGTCAAGGAGGCAATGGGTGGACAGGAGCAACAGGAGTTTCTGGTCCAAATGGTAATCCTGGCCTTCCTGGCTCTTTAGGTTCAACTGGATTACAAGGAGCTACAGGACCAACTGGAACTAGTGGATTTCAAGGCGCTACAGGACTTATAGGTGGACAAGGAGGTTATGGATACACAGGGAGTTCAGGTCTTAGAGGAGCTCCTGGATTGCCTGGTCCCATTGGTAATCCAGGTAATCCTGGAGTTGTAGGTGATACCGGATTTTCAGGAATAACAGGTTTTACTGGATCAACTGGATTGCCTGGTTTTCCTGGTATGCAGGGACCACAAGGTTCTACAGGCAGTTCTGGTGCAACTGGAGCAACTGGAATCACTGGCCAAATTGGGACACAGGGTTCTACTGGAAATGCTGGATTTGCTGGGCAGCCTGGACAGCAAGGAACGGGTGGTTTTCAGGGTTTGACTGGAGCTACCGGAGCAACTGGTAACACCGGCAATCCAGGTAGGCCTGGAAATTTTGGACCAGCTGGAAATACAGGTGCTACTGGGCAGACAGGTGCCACAGGTAAAAAATATTTATTTGAATTGTTTGGAAAAAGTACAATTTGAACATAAAAAAAATGTTAAATTAAATGTTAGGAAGCTCTGGAGCTAGTGGATTTCCTGGTCAGCCTGGTTTTACTGGAGCTCCAGGTCAAGTTGGAGCGACTGGCGAATCAGGTGCTACGGGAGCCACTGGTGACATGGGTTTTATGGGTGCTACTGGAAGAACGGGAGCTGCTGGAGTTACTGGTACCGCTGGATTTACCGGAAACACTGGTCTACAAGGTCCGAAAGGAAGAACTGGTGTTAGAGGTGATACTGGCCCAAATGGTGCTACTGGGGCATCAGGACAAGCTGGCAGTACAGGTGATACTGGTATTTCCGGCCAAACTGGGTTTCCTGGAGCACCAGGTTTTCCTGGTTTGATGGGTGCCACGGGTCAACCAGGTCAAACTGGTTTCACAGGTCTACCAGGGGCCACTGGACAACAGGGTCCACAAGGAAGCAGTGGTTCATCTGGAGCTCCTGGTTTTTTCGGCATCAATGGACCACCTGGAAGTACTGGAAACACAGGTAAGTTGTGTTGAAGTAGAGACTTCTAGAATTAAAAACAATATTAATCTTAAATTTTGTTTTGCAGGTATTACGGGTTTACCTGGAGACGTAGGTCGACCTGGTAATACGGGTTCATCTGGAAGCACAGGACTTCCTGGACAACAAGGCTTACCAGGTAACACGGGGACGTCTGGTTTGCCAGGTAGGACAGGCGCTTCGGGAGCAACCGGACCGAGTGGAGGCATGGGAGGGACAGGTTTTACTGGATTACCAGGTAGGACAGGTGTAACTGGAACTGGAGGAGTCAAAGGTCAGCAGGGTTTTACTGGTCCTACTGGAAGTACTGGACCTATCGGACCATCCGGCCCACCTGGCCCACAGGGTTCTGTAGGATTTACAGGTGGTACAGGTGCTTCTGGATTACCAGGTTTGCTAGGAGGAAAAGGTGGAACCGGACAACAAGGAAATACTGGACCTATTGGAGATCAAGGCTTTCAAGGTTCACAAGGAGTACCTGGAAATAATGGTCAACCTGGACCTAAAGGAGCCACAGGATTTACTGGGCCTATTGGATCAATGGGTGCAACAGGAGCTTTTGGTCCTGCTGGTAGGACTGGTGTTTCAGGTCTTCCAGGATCCACCGGTGACACAGGAAATAGAGGAAATCCTGGACTTACTGGTAGAACGGGAATTATAGGTGGTATTGGAAGTCCTGGAAGTTCCGGCAGAATTGGAAACACGGGATCAACAGGTTTATTATTTTTTTTCAGTTTAATATTGACGTTACATGTTATATTTTTTTTATTATTAAATAAAATGCTAATCCAATATTTTTCTTTGATAATTGTTAAAAACTAGGTGCTACTGGAAATATTGGACAAACCGGAAATACTGGAGTAACAGGATCGACAGGTTTTAATGGAGTGATTGGTCAGACGGGAGCTAGTGGTGTTTCTGGAGGAACGGGAGCCACTGGAGCAACAGGTGTGACTGGGAATATTGGTGAACCAGGTTCTACAGGTAGTCCTGGTCAAAACGGTAGCCCTGGTTCTTTAGGAAACTCAGGTGATATTTTTGTAAAAAGTTGTATTATTTAACGATAACATTAATTTTTACGAGAAACTTTTGATGTTATTTGTTTTATAAAGCTTAGTTTTATTGTTTTTTTTTTTAGGAGCTACTGGAAATACCGGCGTGCAAGGTTACATAGGAGCAACAGGGATTCAAGGGGCACCAGGATTTACTGGTGCCAGTGGTTTGCCAGGAGACGTTGGACAACCTGGCATGAAAGGAGTACCTGGAAGAACTGGAGTAGCTGGCACCGGAGGATTTACTGGAGACACCGGCAGCACGGGAGCTACTGGCTCTACTGGCAGGACAGGCGTAAAGGGTTCCGATGGTTTTCCTGGGCTTTTTGGAGCAACAGGCATTTCTGGTTTACCTGGGCAACCAGGTGTCATTGGTGCAACAGGACAGATTGGGTTTACCGGAGTTTTTGGAAACACTGGATCCACTGGAGCTACTGGAAGTACTGGTCCATCGGGAGTCCAAGGAAATACTGGAGCCAGTGGAGCTACTGGTGCTACGGGTGCCTCTGGATTTACAGGTGTTTTAATTTTGTACAATTTTTATTCTGTTCAGAGATTAAATGTGGGCGAGGGTTTTTTACCATGTTATATTTGCTGTGTTGGTCGTCGTCCGAGCAGTATATAGGTTTCGGTTTCGATGCTGTCTTGAAGAAATTCTTAGAAGTTCGCTTGATTTAACGTTTATCCGGTTCAAAATTGTTCGTATATTATAATTAACAAAAGGCGAATATTTAATGGATGATTGCATGTGTTCAATTGTTATTTTGGCAAGCAATGATGACCCTGACCTTAGCTCCTAAAATAGAATGTCTGACTGTATGTTGTTTTACACAGCGTTGTGTTTCTAACTGCATTCTTGAACGTTTACTTATCTGCATCTCGCCATCAATACTTTTGTAGTTATCCTCATGATTGTTTACATACTTTAAAAATACCTCTTGATGGTTTGTTTCATATCTTAACTTATGACTCACATAACCGTCGCCCAAACTTCACATAATATTATTACAATTTAATAAACTTTGACATAATTTTCTTTTAGGCGTTATTGGAGTTGTGGGGCCAACAGGTTCTACAGGTTCCAAAGGTTCACTTGGGTTTTCTGGAAATCCAGGAGGAACAGGATCCTCTGGTCTACCTGGTCAGGTTGGTTATACCGGTATAACAGGGTCAACTGGTGCAACGGGACAAATTGGTCTACCAGGAAATACAGGTTCACAAGGATTCCCAGGTCCCCAAGGATCAACAGGATCCCAAGGATCATTTGGTAGTTCTGGAGGTACTGGTCCTACAGGAATGACTGGCCAAATTGGAGTGCCTGGTTTTCCTGGAAATATCGGACCCACAGGACCTGATGGAGCTACGGGAGGAACTGGGACTACCGGTTTTACAGGTCCAAAAGGTTTTACGGGATCTAACGGCTTGCCCGGTTTACCTGGACTTCAAGGTTTGTACTTTTTGTTGAGAAGAACTAGTTTTAGAGTGAAAAAGTAACTATTTCCATTTATTGACTATTATGTATTTTTATATTTCCTAATGATAAAACAATCAGCTACTGCTATGTTACTTTGCTTCAGGTGACACCGGATCATCCGGCCAGCCAGGGTCGCCTGGACTAAATGGAGGTCAAGGAGCAACAGGTCAAGTTGGAGCCACAGGACAATTAGGAGGAACAGGAGCGACTGGTTCATCAGGTAACACAGGTACCACTGGTTTGAGGGGATTTGATGGATCTACCGGAGCACCTGGCGTTGCTGGCATTCCTGGGTTGCCTGGTATGTTTTGTAACTGCATCATTATTAACATAGTTGAATGCACTTATATAGAGCCGCTGGACTGCATACATGCGTTAGATTTTTCGACATGTGCTAATGTTCGATTTGAATTGATATATTGGTTTCATCTATAGCATATGAAATAAGAGATTCGAATCGAACGTAATTTAAAAATCATTTTAACTTGCAGCGTATGCGTTAATTTTAAAAATGTAATGCTTTATATTCAAATTTCATGCTATTTTAACATTTTTGCGTTGTGAAATGTTCGAATTTTTCCAAATCGTTCCATAAAAAAGTATTTTTTGGATAAAAATTAAAATTTTTATTCAAAAATGTTAATAAATCCCAACATATAAAACTATTACAAATTAAACTGACGTGCACGTACAATTGATGTATATACGCAAATATATACTAACGGATGAGTGAGTGTGTTGAAATTTGTTTGCTGTCTCGTTCTGGAGCATGTCTCGTTTAGTCAAAATTTAAATTCATGTTGCACAAAACTAAAAATAAAAAGCAAATTTTATTGGATCCTTCTTTTGACTTTTTTTTAATTGCTTGATCAAATGTATTCGTCAAACTTTCTACTACTTTTTGGAATGTTGCATATTATTACTTTTATTGAAAAGGTTTTACTGGACAGACTGGACCTAAAGGTCGAACAGGAATTTCAGGCTTCCCAGGACCTCAGGGATTCACAGGTTCCAGTGGTAGCACGGGAGCTACAGGTTCTTCAGGTAATACAGGTTTCACCGGGTTTATTGGTCTACCTGGAAATACAGGAGCCACTGGAAATACAGGAAGCAGCGGATTAACAGGTTTTCAAGGAATGCAAGGAACACAAGGACCAAATGGAAGTCCTGGTGTTACGGGATCATCTGGACAAACCGGTTTTACAGGAGCTACTGGACCCGTTGGAGGAACAGGTAACCCCGGATTTCCTGGAAATCCTGGTTTGAAAGGTGTAGGTGGTACACCTGGAGCTTTGGGTCCAACTGGATCTACTGGGCTGCAAGGTTCGTTTAACTTCTATGAAAGTAATTTGTTGGATAATGTTATGTAGGCATTAATTAATTTTCTTATTATTATATGACAACTTTTTCACAATTATTAAATTTTTTTCCTATCCAGGTGCAACTGGTAACACTGGCCAGACTGGTTTTCAGGGCAGTCCTGGAGCCCAAGGCTTCACGGGCTACACGGGTAATACCGGTTCTACAGGTGATTTTGGCTGGACGGGTGCTACTGGATTAAAAGGAGATCAAGGTTTGTTGGGTGCAACCGGTTTAACGGGCCAGACAGGTCAACAAGGTCAACCCGGTGCTACTGGATCAACAGGTTCTACCGGAGTCACTGGTCTTTTTGGAAATCCCGGCCAACCAGGATATACTGGTTTGACCGGTGTTATTGGAGCAACCGGAAATCCAGGAGTGCAAGGAGTTCCAGGTAACACTGGTGTTACAGGATTTCCAGGAGTTGCTGGCAGTACAGGTCAGCAGGGAGCAACAGGTGTAACTGGCAACCAAGGTCCTGTTGGATCAACTGGCGGCACGGGTGCAACTGGTGGTATAGGAGCTACTGGTCCCAACGGACAACAAGGTGCTACTGGTTCTTCTGGAGGTACTGGGCTGGTTGGACAAACTGGTCAACAGGGTTCACAGGGTTCAACTGGCTTTACAGGTATCAACGTTTATTTTAATGACTTCATTTGTTTGAAAATTTGAATTAATTTCAACAGTCTTGTTGCTTACAATTGAATACAGGTTCTACTGGAATGATAGGAACGGGTGGCGCTATAGGTTTCCAAGGCCCTCAAGGTGCTACTGGACCAGCCGGGTTTCTTGGAGGCACTGGTACGACAGGAATGATTGGAGCAACAGGATCTTCTGGACCAACTGGGACACCTGGATCACCAGGATCCCCAGGTATTGCGGGTAATACAGGCAGCACCGGATCAAGTGGTAATACTGGACCAACGGGTTATTTAACATTTTTTGTTTACTGTTCAATTTGTATTTCAATTGCAAAGTTGAAATACAATGAACTCATTAAAATTAATACAACTTTTTTGTTTGAAATGATGAACAGGTGCTACTGGTCAAACTGGTCAACAAGGATTTCCAGGTTTCACTGGAGCAACAGGTTCAACCGGAAATACTGGTTCTTCTGGAGCGCCAGGTCCGGGTGGAATTCCCGGTTTTGCTGGTAATCCTGGTGTGAAAGGTACGCAAGGAACCCAAGGGCCAACAGGGTCAACTGGTTCAACTGGACTGCCTGGTGCCACAGGAAGCTTTGGTGCTTCTGGTGTTGCTGGTTTGTTTTTATTTTGTCTACATGAAATTTACTCTTAATAATTTTATTTCAGTACTTAATGGCAAATATTCAATGATCAGCACCAAGTTATCAAAATATCATACAATAATTTTCATCATATTTTATGGTTAGTATCAACCATCCCAACTTATGATGAACATCAAGTTATAATATGCGAAATAAAATTAAATATGAGTAAAGCTGCTATTATGATTCAAAATTGACGCTACAATCTAATAAGGGTTACATTGTTTAGATTGCTTTTTTAAAACCATTTGTAGCTGTAATGAATCTTATCAAATTTTTACTTTAAAATTACTCACTACAAATCAGACTTAATTTACCTCAAAACCAGGTGCAACTGGTTCGTCTGGATTGCCAGGTGTGGTGGGTGGCACAGGTCAACCGGGTCAGCAGGGATTTACAGGTGCATCAGGATTCACTGGCTTCACAGGCTTCATTGGAGTCACTGGAGCCACGGGACAGATTGGTGTTGCAGGAGCCACTGGAGCAACAGGGAATCTTGGCCCAAGAGGTATTTCAAGCTTGAATTAATTTTCCACACAATATTTAATTTAATATTAGTACTGTTTTTGTATTTTCTAGAGATTAGTCGCATTGCAAATTTTTCACGTTTTTCTAAAATTTTAAATTTTTCGTTGATTTTTTGATATGTTGTTGCTAATTTTGATTCAACTTACAGGAAAAAATTAGAAGATTAATAATATAGTTTTTTTTCGAAATAATTAGAGTTAATTAATTAAATTAGTTTTTTTAGTTAATATTTGAGTTTATAATATAATAAGTTTTCTGTTCTGAAATCTGTTCATTTTCATTTTCAGCGCATACGCTTATAACAACTTACGTCCAAAATCGAATTTACCTGTTCAATATTGAAATATAGAATAGAATAGAAAGCCAAACATTAATAATATAGTTTAAAATAATATAATTTTCAGCGCATACGCTTATAACAACTTACGTTCAAAATTGTATTTACCTGTTCAATATTGAAATATAGAATAGAATATTTATTAGAAAGCCAAACATTAATAATATAGTTTATAATAATATCATTTTCAGCGCATACGCTTGTAACAACTTACAACTTCTATTTCTGAGATTTTATGGTTATTAAGTACGAATTTAAAAATTTTATCAGATGGCAATTTCAAAAATGAAGTTTTGAAATGAAGATTTCGTTTGGTAAAAAAATCTTAGTTTCTGAGTATGAAACATTGAAAAAAGGTAAAATCAAACAGTTGAACCGAGGAAATACTAAATATAAAAAAGTTTGTGATATTGTTGAGTTATCTGGAGAATAGACTGCAATACGTTTGGCTTGAAAATCATGTCTCGCATGTCTTGCCTTTGAACTGCGGAGTGCCACAGGGTTCCAACTCGGTCCATTGCTTTTCATCATTTTTGTTAACGATTTACCAGATGTTTCATCTGTTTTTCGCGGTATTTTGTATGCTGATGATACAAATTTATTTTATTTATCGAAAAATCTTATGAATGAAAAGTCGCGTTTATATAGTGAATTGTTTCAATTTGAACGTTGGTAATTAACACGGTTAAATGCTCTTATACTATTCTGGGTCCTAAGATTGTAACTAACATTATTCCTGATTTAAATATCAGCATATGTAATCATGCAATAAAGAAACGTGACTCGATAAAATTTTTAGGTGTCTGCTTAGAAAATAACTTATTGTGGAACGATCACATATTAGATATTACTTGCAAAACCAATCGATTTTTTAATATAATTAACAAGATTAAAAATAAACTTAATAAAAATACTTTTGTTATACTTCATAATGGTCTTCACAAAATTATTTTATCTCATATGGTCTCCGAAAATAAGCTGTTTGATGAATTTTTAAATTTTTTTTTAATTTGGTTTGATTTAAAAGTTTTCAGTCGTTCGTATTATGAAATATGTTTGCACTTTCATATTTTAGGCTCCACTGGACCTATGGGATTTCAAGGTCCTCAAGGTCAGCCAGGTCAAACAGGACAGCAGGGTCAACAAGGTCAAACGGGTCAGCAAGGATTCACGGGTTCTTCTGGAGCAACTGGTCCAATGGGAAACACTGGACGACCTGGTCTTGTTGGAGATACTGGTAGGTAACAAGTATTGCGTGTTGTCGTTCAGTCTGAAAATGATTATAATTTTCAAATTATTTGAAGGTCCTTCTGGAAATCCCGGAGCTCCTGGTAACCAAGGAGCAACGGGAAGTTCAGGGGGGACAGGACCGCAGGGACCACAAGGAGCATCAGGTCAACCTGGCCAACCAGGATCTTTCGGATCTCCTGGAGTTCAGGGAACACGAGGTGCTACTGGCGCTACGGGTGCTACAGGTTGAGTTTTGTTTCCAATTGTTCTTTTTCTATTTGTAATTTTTTCGTTGCAATTTAATACTTGAATTATTACTGAATATTCATCGCATTGCGTTTTCAGGTGGAAAGGGATTTCCAGGGAACCAAGGAGCTACAGGATCATCTGGTCCAGATGGGAGCAGAGGTAACACTGGCTCTCCTGGCACGTTTGGGTTTACAGGCGCCACTGGTAATCCTGGAAATACTGGTAATTCTGGTTTACCTGGGTTTCCAGGAGCAACTGGTCCCACGGGAATGACTGGTCCAGCCGGATTGAATGGAGCTCAGGGGACAATGGGTTCAACAGGAGTTACTGGTTCGACTGGGGCAAGTGGACTACCCGGGCAAACCGGACCCTTTGGTCCTCAAGGTGATAACGGTCAACCAGGATCTACTGGTCAGTAATAAAGAAATAAATTTCTTGTTTTATAGTTCAGTGTTACTAAGTTCATTTATTTTCATAAAACGCAATCACTGTTGTTAAAAATATTAATTCCAAATCAACACACTAATCAATTCAACATAACTTAAGAATTATCTATTTGAAAATTTCTTTATAAACAACAGTATTATTGTTTATCATTAAACAGGCGATCCTGGAAGAACGGGAAATTCAGGAAATCCAGGATCCACAGGACAACAGGGTCCTCAAGGGCCTCCCGGAGATCCAGGTTTCAAAGGTGTACCTGGTCCCTCTGGTCAGCCGGGATCTTCGGGTCAGCCGGGTTCTCCGGGGTGGACGGGATGGACTGGAGCTACAGGGCAGTTAGGTATGACAACAGCATTTACGTTTATATTTTTTTTTAACGTTTATGGATTGTTATTCATTCTAAAAAAAATAAGAGAGGTGGCTGTATTTTATAAAATCATCTATATTTAAACAAAAGACAGTTTATCTAGATAATTGGTATTTTAAAATTATTTAACTTTGATGTGCGATCTAATTGAGGAGATATGAGATTGAGATTCAGTGTTAAATCCTTAGCTGATGTTACTTTTGAAAATTTTTGAAAAACTCGTGATAAAGTTTTTACAGTTATTAGAATCTAGATGTCTGTTGGAGATAACGCTCTTATTATTCTTTATAATACTTTTTTGTCGTGCCTGTCCCGTTGTAATGTCGTTTGGAGTAATGACCCATGGTATATTGTTATGTTAATAATCTTTTCATTGCGCAAAAATGGTTCATTAAAATATTATGCATTTTCGTCATATTGAGTCTCAGGGTTTTGAATAAAAAATTTTTATTCGTTCGTTGAAAATTGAAAAAATAAGTTATAACGTTATGCGGTGAGTATTAACATAAGAATAACATAAGATATATTTTTAAATTGTATGAACACTTTGAAAAGTTTTGTTTCGGAAATAAATTTTTATTAGAAGAAATTTAAATTCTTAATTTTGTTTGTTTGTTTGCTTGCTTACCTGCTTGCAGTTTAGCGGTGTTTCAACGCAAGGATGCTATCTTTACAGTCTCTAGTCAACAAAATAATTATTCTTTTTTCTTAGTTGTTTGGTTTTGTCCTATAAAAATTCAAACTTCGTCAATTATCTTTATCTCCACCTAAAATAAAATCACACCTCATAAATTTTCATTAATAAACAACGATTTTATGTCCAATGTGAGACTGAGTTTTTTTTTATTCTTCTTACCCTTTTATTGAATCGTTAGTTTAATGGACTTGTTTGTTTATTATGAATTAGTAGATGATTGTGGATTTGATTATTTATGTGACTTTTTAGCCGACCGTCATTTTTTTTTATTGAAATATCATTTTGAATTGTGTCTTAATTCTGTCCGATTGTTTATTTATTGGTGTATAATGGGTTAAACATACACCGCACACGTGTGTCAATCGTACAACATTAATGCTATAATTAAAAAGTTTGTTGGTTCTGAAAAGTTTTATTATTTTTTATAATTAATAAATTTCACTTTTTTTTGATAGGTCAAACTGGAAGTACAGGCGTTACAGGTGCCAGTGGTCAATCCGGAGTCCAGGGAGCTACCGGATTACCTGGAAATACTGGACAACCAGGATTCAATGGTCCTGTCGGTCCTGTTGGAAATACTGGTTTTCAAGGACTCCCAGGAGCTTTTGGACAAACTGGTGTTAATTTTTTTCTACATAAAATCTTTTTCTATTTTTCACTCTATAAATTTAAATGGTTCAATTTTTGTATTTTAAGGATCGCCTGGTGTTCCTGGTGCTACTGGAGCTTCGGGATGGACTGGTTTTACTGGAGCAACTGGCGGCACAGGTCTTGCCGGAGACAAAGGCAACAAAGGTCCGGATGGTCCTGTTGGTTTTACAGGGCCACAAGGCAGTCCAGGTGCTCTTGGTTCCAGTGGGCCTGTTGGAGCTACTGGAGTCACAGGTTCTGACAGTTTTAAATTAGAAGTTTTTTATTTTATATCATTATGATGGATAATGCAATTTTCATTTTTATGTGTTACAATAATCTATTTCAAAGGTGCTACTGGCCAATTTGGATTACCTGGTCAGCAAGGTGCTTCTGGTTGGACAGGAAACACAGGAATTCCAGGTCAACCAGGCCTAACAGGACCAGCTGGATCTCCAGGATTCAAGGGTCAGATTGGTTCAACTGGTGCATCTGGTCCTCAGGGCCAGCGTGGTCCAACAGGTGATCAAGGGTTTACCGGATGGACTGGGGCAACTGGATCATCAGGTATAGTTGGAAACACAGGATCGAAAGGGTGGACAGGATCAACGGGATTTTCTGGAAATCCTGGGTTTCCTGGAGTAATGGGTCCAACTGGTGGTACGGGACAAACTGGTGTCTCTGGTACTCTTGGTGTTCAAGGATACACCGGTCAAACTGGATTTACTGGTCCTACAGGAGCTACTGGACAAATAGGACCTCAAGGGCAACCAGGAAACACTGGAGGAAAAGGTAGCACTGGAAATTCTGGAATGACGGGGCCTCAAGGTCCAACTGGTTTTCCAGGACTCCCTGGACCTTTAGGTCCAAATGGAGACCCAGGGCAAACTGGATACACGGGTCAAACAGGAATGGTAGGAGGCACAGGTGCTACAGGTGGAATTGGGTTTTCCGGTTTTACAGGATCAACAGGAACTTTGGGTAATACAGGTAATACCGGAGCTAGCGGAGCTACTGGCAATTCAGGACTAATTGGTTCAACAGGTTCAACTGGTTTCGCAGGGCCAGCTGGGCCACCTGGCAGCGTTGGAAACCCTGGTCAACCAGGATTTAATGGTGCCCCAGGAGTGGACGGAAGTTTAGGAGCCACGGGAAGCTCTGGATTCGCAGGTGTCACGGGAAATACAGGATCAACAGGTAAATTAAGCCTCAAGATTGATGCAAACATTTTTATATAGTTTTTTGGAAATTTAGCTGTTAATTTTAATAATAATGAAATGCTTATACTTATGCATGTTTAAGGTCGTGTTTGTATATGGACACGTTCATCATAATATCATTGAATTTCAGTCTTTTTATACTTTGACAATAACTAATTTTTATTGCTTTGTTCGTTGAACGGTCAACGTTTTTACGCTGTTTCAATCCATTATATTGTCATTATGTTTTGTAGCCTGTACGCTAGTTTAATTTTAAAATTCTGTTTATATTTAAGGACTATTTCTTTTCTTTATTTTAATGTAATTGTTCCGTTTAACGGTGGTCTATCGTAAGATATTTTCCTTTTTGATCACCGTATCATTTTCATCTTTTACATTTGTTTTATTTGAATTGATGAATAAATATTGAATTAAATTGAATAATGAAATGTTTTATTTATTCAGGAGCCACAGGAATCAGAGGACCGACCGGAGTAACAGGATCTTTTGGAGCAATCGGCTTTACAGGTGCAACAGGCCAGTCTGGGTTTTTAGGGTTTACTGGACAACCTGGTTTACAAGGTTCAACTGGTCAACAAGGATTTACTGGTCCGAAAGGTTTTACAGGGAATTTTGGAGCATCTGGTCAAATAGGCGCAACAGGTCCAATCGGATTTCCTGGACCTAATGGAGCGACTGGTTCTTCAGGTAATCCAGGTGCTAATGGTGCTACAGGCAGCAAGGGTGATATTGGTTTCCAAGGTTCAAGCGGTTTACCAGGTGCAAAAGGTCAACCCGGCCTAACTGGCGCAACAGGTTCCTCTGGTGTTCAAGGTGTCGAAGGTCCAACTGGAGGTACTGGACAATCTGGGTTTACAGGCCCTCAAGGATTTACTGGTGATAGGGGTAGTTCAGGTTTTCCAGGACCACAAGGATTAACTGGCAGCCCGGGTCCTGTGGGAGCTACAGGTCCAAGTGGTCAGCCTGGTCAAAATGGAGCTACTGGTGCGACAGGTATTTCAGGATCAACCGGTTTGACAGGTGCTACTGGATCCACTGGAGAGCAAGGATTTTCTGGGTCAATTGGTTCATCTGGACAACAAGGACCTACTGGACCAACAGGAAACGCAGGTCAGATAGGAATTCCTGGTTCAGATGGCTTTGCTGGCTTACCCGGAGGAACTGGTTTCACTGGTGCAACTGGTCAATCAGGACAACCCGGTAGTATGGGTGCTACTGGTTCAGCTGGACCCAAAGGTTTGTATCTTATACTTGTTTTCAATGTTGAAAATTTCTTCTTTCAGTACAAAACATAAAAATTTTATGTTAGAGTATCAAAATTATTAATATTGTTACAGACGTGAGATCAAGATAAAAACTAATAGTTAGAAACTGTTAAGCATGCATTGAGGAATGAACTGCTTATAAATTAATTAGAAGGTTGTAAAGTAATTAAAAGGTTGTAAATTCATTTATGGATGTGACACTTTTATTTGTCACATTTACAAGCAGATCGGTAGCTATATAAACAACAAAGACGCAGGAAGAGAAGAACAAGGGAAGAAGAAAACGAAACCCAGTTGACGTAGAAGTGAGATTCGATGCGAAGTCATAAATGTGATTTATGTAGCTATTCGGATTAATTTAATGTTTCTATTACTGCTGGTATTCAAATAAACGTTCAACTTAGTTGGCGTTTAAAGTGGTTGTGTTCATCTATCGAAAATCTTGAACCTACGGATAAACGAACTCTTGACTACCGTTAGAAGTTGCAACACATTGTTGGAGATATAGATATTATTGAAGCAATAACATCGGTGTTGATACTTACGAGGTCAAGGAGGTTACAACACTTGTGTCAGAAGTGGGATTTTCAGGAGATTCAGACATTGGTGTCAGAAGCAAGATTTTGATAGTTCGAAACCCACTGTTGTAAAGAACGCGAACGCAAGGACTAGAAGAACTCAATATAATTAGTCCGACAAGAGAAGCTTAATTATTGGTGATTAGTTTTACTCCGTGATTTACCGGTTGATTAGTTATTGTGCTGTATTCTAACGATTTTAACTTGTGAATAAACGAGTGATCGGTCACAGCAAGCAATACACACAAGTGATTGCCAGCACTGTTTTCTTTCTGTCCATCTGAAATAAGTCTATTCAGGAGTCAAAAATCTACGTAGAGGGAAATAACCGTACTCTACAAATTCATGGGGTCGGTTATAACAATATAATAAGATTTTTCACTTGTGAAATTGCGAACATTTAAACTGTTTAAGTTTTAACGCACTAACAATATGTAGAAGATTTCAATTATAATAGAATAGAGGAAAAATATTTAAAAAACACTTTTTTCATAATCGAGAAAAAATTAACGGCAGCCGTTTTGGAGTTACTTTTTAATTGCTGTAGAGGTTGCAATAGCTGCTTCTCATTTGCAGCGTTAACAACCCTGGCTACTTGCGATTTAAATGTTTACGGTCGTTTTTTTTATTTTATCTTTTTATTTCTAGTTTATGCTATAATGTTTGTTACATTTATAATATCATATTTGTTATTATTTCTACTCTTTGTATAATTATATTGTTTTAACTTTTTGTTTTTACGTAGTAATTGGTTGATTGATTGATTGATTGATTGATTGATTGATTGATTGATTGATTGATTGATTGATTGATTGATTGGTTGGTTGGTTGGTTGGTTGGTTGGTTGGTTGGTTGGTTGGTTGGTTGGTTGGTTGGTTGGTTGGTTGGTTGGTTAATTAGTTGGTTGGTTGGTTTGATAGTTGATTGGTTAGTTGGTTGGTTGGTTTGATGGTTGATTGACTACTGATTAAGCGACTTCAATTTGAACTTTACAAAAAAACTTTCTCGTTAATAACATTATTATTTTGTTTAATGTTTAGGTCAACCAGGTTCACCCGGATCTCCAGGTCAAAAAGGATCAGTTGGACCTCCTGGAAATCCAGGATTGAATGGACAATTTGGGGCCACTGGTGGGACTGGTCCATCCGGGTCTCCTGGAAGTCTTGGACCGACAGGATGGACAGGGATAAGGGGCTCAGATGGGAGTACTGGTGCCCAGGGTGCGACTGGACCAACAGGTTCTTTAGGCCAACAAGGCTTTCCAGGCTCTCCAGGTCCAAGTGGTTTTCAGGGTTTTCCTGGCCAACAAGGGGGTACGGGTTTTACGGGTTTCACAGGGCTTAAAGGATTAGATGGTTTTACGGGAGCAAGTGGATTGCCAGGATTTACTGGGTTACCGGGTTTTACGGGAGCAACTGGATTGAAAGGTGCAACCGGCCCAGCTGGACAACCAGGGTTTACTGGACAAACTGGAGACACAGGAATTCCAGGTACGAAATGGTGATAAACAAACAACGTTTTGAACAAAAATTGACCGACTGTCGTTTTTGAATTCGTTTGCAGGTTTTCAAGGAGTACAAGGTTCTCCTGGACAGCAGGGTTCACAAGGTAACACTGGATTCGGTGGTGAAATGGGTTTTACAGGATCCCCTGGCAGTCAAGGTGCTACAGGCTTTACTGGAATCACAGGATCTATTGGATCTTCCGGAGAAATAGGCACTCCCGGACCTCAGGGTCCTAAAGGATTTACTGGTTCACCTGGTTTTCCAGGTCAACAAGGCTTACCTGGAAATAGTGGAGCAATGGGAGATTCTGGATTTACGGGAGATACCGGTTTTACTGGATTGCCCGGAGCTACTGGTGTGATTGGTTTATCAGGCGCAACCGGAGCAACTGGCAATAGTGGCAATATTGGTTTTACGGGAGAGAAAGGATTTCAGGGAAGTTCAGGAAATGCCGGCATTCAAGGAGATACAGGTGCTACTGGGATTGCTGGTCCTAAAGGAGCACCTGGTCCTCCTGGACAAGGTGGTCAAGGAGGCGAATCTGGAACGCCTGGTTTTACTGGAGCTACAGGTGCTGATGGACTTCCAGGTTTATCTGGTTTTGATGGACCACCGGGTCTCAAAGGTCTTCCAGGGATTAGCGGAAGTCCTGGCGGTGTTGGTGCTACGGGTGTAACTGGAACTGGAGGTTTTATTGGTTTACCTGGTTTTGATGGCCCTAAAGGTTTTCCTGGTGCCCCTGGTACACCAGGTGCACCAGGAGTTATTGGAGTAACTGGAGGTACCGGTGCTACTGGGTCTCAAGGCAGACCTGGTTTAGCTGGAGCAACAGGATCTACTGGAAACGTGGGCAATCCAGGACCTTTAGGTGACACAGGCAATACTGGCGTTCAAGGACAAAGAGGTCAGCCTGGTCAAACAGGGCCTTTTGGTCCTCCTGGTAATACAGGCTTAACTGGAGTAAATGGTTTTACTGGTTTTACTGGAAGTATTGGTAATCCTGGCTGGACCGGAGCGTCGGGCTTTACGGGAGCCACTGGTTTTACTGGTGGAACCGGTAGTACAGGTATCACTGGATCAACTGGTGCACAAGGTTCCACAGGAATTACAGGTGCTGTTGGTTTTCAAGGTTTTACTGGCCTACAAGGTCAACAAGGACAATCTGGATTAACTGGAGCAATTGGCGTTCAAGGTCCCATAGGTGGAACTGGTCTCCCTGGTTTGCCGGGAAGGGCAGGATCTCAAGGTTTTCCTGGGTTACAAGGTAGTCAAGGAGACTCTGGTGATACTGGTTTTTCAGGATCTCCTGGATTTCCAGGTACTCCAGGTGGATTTGGACAACCTGGTGCAGTTGGGTACACTGGTCAAAAAGGTTCCACTGGTTCTCAAGGAGATACTGGCTCGTCTGGCTCTACAGGTTCTTGTTTTATTTTTACTTGTATATAAATATGTTTAATTTACATTATCAACTTATTTATTTATTTGAAACAAAGCACGGGCAAATTATTCTTGCCTATATAATAAAAAAGAAATAAATATAAAAAATAAAATAATATAAAATTTTTAACGCAAAGAAAAACTTTCAAGTCATACAAGTAACACATTAGAAATGTTCTGAAAAAAGAGAATTAAAAGCGATTAAATTTGAGTGAACCAGCACCATAAACTCAGTCCTAAGCGACCAAACATGCGTGTTACCAATTTGAAAATGCGTGCATTGAATCAATGAAGCACATTTAATACCCATTCAAAAACCAATCACCTACATCCATATCTCCCCATCTTTAATTCGTTTTTTCTTTCATAATTTTTTTTAGGTGCTGTTGGACCCATTGGTGCCTCCGGTTCTTCGGGTTTTCCCGGAAATCCTGGACCATCAGGACAGATTGGAGTAACTGGATTGACGGGAGCCACAGGAAGTACTGGCCAGAAAGGTCCCACTGGAGTGATAGGTCCGGTAGGTCCAACAGGCTTTCCAGGTATAGCAGGTGCTTCAGGGGCTCAAGGTGCCAATGGTGCAACAGGCGCAACTGGAGATATCGGAAATACTGGGAGTTCGGGTGAAACAGGAGTTACTGGGATGACTGGCGGAACTGGCGCTACTGGTGTGAAAGGTTTTACCGGGAGCACTGGTGCATTCGGTGATGTGGGTCAGCAAGGATCACAAGGAAGTACAGGTGAACATTTTTTTAATTTTTCAAATTTTGTCTATCGTTTTTACTTTTGTTTTTCAGTTGAAATTACTTGCTTTTAATGAATAGTTATTCATAGTATTATTGCGATGTTAAAGGCTCACCTGGAAACACTGGAAACAAGGGAAGTCCAGGTGTGAAGGGTCAACCAGGTCAATCTGGTACAATAGGACCAACTGGTTTACCTGGGTCTCCTGGTTTAAATGGAGTTCAAGGAGGAACAGGTTTCACTGGATCCACTGGTGATCCGGGTTTCAGAGGATTGCCAGGTGCATCTGGCAGTTCTGGTTTTACTGGTGCCACTGGTGTATCAGGACAGCCTGGAAATGCTGGCCCACCCGGAAACAAAGGAAATACGGGAAGTCCGGGAAGAGTTGGTGATACTGGACCGACGGGACAACAAGGACCTAATGGACAACTGGGCCAGCCAGGAAATACTGGAAGTTCCGGATCTACTGGAGCTACTGGCGCTAAAGGTCCCACAGGAACATTTGGATCACAAGGTAATCCTGGTTCACCTGGAATGTCAGGAATTCAGGGATCAACAGGAATAACTGGGAACACCGGCCAAACAGGAGATAAAGGTCCTCGAGGGTTTGATGGAGATGTTGGATTTCCAGGATCAACTGGATATACAGGATCAACAGGTTATTATATAAAATTTTATAATATTAATAATGATGGGTAATAATGCGAACAACTTCTATTTTCCTCATAAAATCATAGATATTAATCAACATGCAAATTAAGCAGCGATAAAATTAAATATAATATGATGACGATTAATCCATGCGCAATGCTGATGACAGGTGCATAAATTGTATTTAAAAGTTAAGTACTATGCTGTTAAGTGCTGTCACAGTAAATGCCATTTGATGAGCAATCAGAAAGTTTTTATTTCATGAAGCGATAATTAAAATCGTTATAAAACAAACAATTTTTATATTGTATTTTTAATGATAATAAAAATAACCAATGATTAACAGGTGCTACAGGCCTCTCCGGTCAACCGGGTTCCTTAGGCAGACCTGGTCCTCAAGGATCTACGGGCGCATCTGGTTTACCTGGATTTTCAGGCTCCACAGGAAACACTGGGGCCTCTGGAAGAACTGGAGATTTCGGCAATACAGGAAGTATGGGCTCTACGGGTCCTCAAGGCAATTCTGGTAATCCGGGTCCAATGGGATTTACAGGTGAAACAGGTTTCACCGGGTGGACTGGCGCAACAGGAGGTCCAGGTTTTCCAGGTGTGAATGGACAGCTCGGAAATACAGGTAAGATTTTTTTGTTTTTTTTCATTTAGTAAATTATTTAAAAAATTAAATTATCGCATGGCTGCTTTGTTTATTCAGGACAACCTGGACAAATGGGAGCTCAAGGAACTAGCGGCCCTCAGGGTCCACAAGGTTCTACTGGATTACCAGGCAATCAGGGTTTTCCCGGACCACAAGGTTCAAGTGGGGCTCCAGGATTTACTGGTGACACAGGTGGAATTGGATTTACTGGAGTTAGAGGATTTACTGGTTCAACAGGTGCTACAGGTAGCACAGGCAATCCGGGTAATGTAGGATTTCCCGGAAATTCAGGTAGCAGAGGAGATACAGGTTTCACTGGAGCCACAGGTCCTCAGGGTGATTTTGGTAGTACGGGGCCTGGCGGCTTCACTGGGGCCACTGGAAGTTCTGGGCAGCCCGGTTCTCCTGGTTTGATGGGACCACTTGGTCAGCAGGGACCTACTGGTGTTATGGGAAGTACAGGTGAGATTACTGTTATTTGTTTTTTTTACCGTTTGAATAAGTAGTTATAAAAATTATTTCGATTAAATACATTAATGCATTTTTTGCTTTTTATTTGTGAATCAGGTTCTAGTGGCGAACCAGGATTTTCAGGTAATCCAGGTTCTCCAGGTTCTCCAGGTGCAACTGGCGCAACTGGTCAAACAGGTATTACAGGCCAACAGGGTTCTACTGGTTCGTTCGGTCCGGCAGGTCCCCCAGGTTTCCCAGGATTTCAAGGACAAACAGGACAGACTGGAATGAAAGGATTGCAAGGTGGCACTGGAGCTGATGGACTTCCAGGAAGACCAGGTGACCCCGGTGATCCAGGTCAACCTGGTTCATTTGGTTTTACAGGTGCAACAGGAGTTCAAGGACCGGTTGGTTCTTCGGGTTTGCCTGGATCGCCTGGAAATGTGGGACCACAAGGATCTTCAGGATCTACTGGTCAGAAGGGAGCTACGGGTCGGATTGGATCGCCGGGAGTTCAAGGTTAAATGTTTGTTGTACTTGACCGTAAAAGTTCAATCACATTAAAACAGTATATTGCAGCGTCTTGCATCACATCGTTCGATTTTTATCATTAACTTTAATTTACGGTCGTTGTTTTTGTTCTGTCGTAAATCATAGAAGATGTTATTTATAAGCTTCGTTCGATACCGATGATGCTATTAAAATAAGAGGGAAAGTCATATTTCTTATTATGAAATGTTAATTTCAGATGTATAGCGAATTTGTTATTTTTTTATGTTCTACTCAACTTGATATATTTGTGAAATTATTACGAAGATTATATTTTTCAATGAAAATTTTTTTAATCAGGACCTCTTGGTCAGACGGGTTCGACAGGAGCCACTGGGGACACTGGCTTCTCTGGACAGCCTGGAGATGCTGGTAACACGGGAAGAACTGGACCAAGTGGCCCCGTGGGTGCTCCAGGATCCAAGGGTTTTACTGGAAGTAGTGGATCTCCTGGCCCAACTGGGATGCAGGGAGCGCAAGGTGGGCCTGAAATTATTTCTTTTCTTTTTTTCTATCGTTCAACCTTATAAAATAAATATAAAATAGTTATAAAATATAAAATCTTATAAAATAGTTCTCAACCAGTTTTTCATAAATATCATTCTTCTACGCGCCATGGCGAGCGAATGAAGTGCATTATTATTATTATTGTTATTATTATTACCACAAACTCACATTGTTTGAGAAAACACGTGAATCAACGCATGAGACACCTTTGCATATGAGTGATATGCTGGAATCTCTTTGCATTCGAACCAGGTCACTGCATCAGCAATGCACGCCCAAACAAAAATTTTCAATTTTTTTGTTGAAATTTGTAACCGTTGCCAATTTATAATCGCAGCAAAATGATGAACTTGAATGATTTTACAGGTTCAATGGGAGCCACAGGAAGACCGGGAGATCCGGGAAATGCTGGACAGCCAGGTGCAACTGGACTTCCAGGATTAAACGGATACACTGGATCAAGTGGTAGAACAGGGGCGACAGGGGGCACAGGTCCTAAAGGAGATACAGGTTTTCAAGGTCCTAACGGTATTAGAGGTGTTTCTGGTGCTACTGGAATAGCAGGTGGTACTGGTTTTCCAGGACCTGATGGAAGAAATGGAGGAGTGGGAGCAACAGGGTTTACTGGCTCTACAGGCGTCTTAGGATTCTCTGGAGCAACTGGAGTTATGGGTGCCACAGGAAACACAGGTTTCGATGGTCCTCAAGGAGACCCTGGTCAACCTGGACCACAAGGCAGCAAAGGAAGACAAGGTGCTAAAGGACCTCCGGGATTAGCTGGTGCTTCAGGTCAAGATGGATCCGCTGGAAACCCTGGTCAAACAGGTTACACCGGTTGGACGGGTGTTCAAGGTCAACCAGGAATTACCGGCTCAACAGGAAGTATAGGCACTGGAGGCGCGACTGGACCCAAAGGAAATGATGGCCCTGTTGGAGCTACGGGAATTACTGGAGTACCTGGTTTTCCAGGATTGGATGGAGATCAAGGATTTCCAGGACCATCGGGTAACCCGGGTGGAACTGGACAGTCTGGTGCGCCAGGAATAATGGGAGCTACAGGTGCGTCTGGTAGCACTGGACTTCGAGGGCCTCCTGGACAAAAAGGCCCCTCTGGAGTGAAGGGGTCGCCAGGCTTACCAGGTTTTTCAGGTCAACCTGGCTTACCCGGCTCCCCCGGTAACGCAGGAAATCCTGGTGCCGCAGGATCGCTGGGATTTACTGGTTCCACAGGATCTACTGGCGCTACGGGTGACAAAGGACCCACAGGTAGGTTGGGTTTTACAGGCTCGCTTGGTCCACTTGGTGCAACTGGACAAACAGGATTAAGAGGAGATGATGGATTGCCAGGACCAAAAGGCCAACCTGGACGACCTGGTCAATCTGGGTCACCAGGATCAACTGGTACAATTGGTGCTACTGGTGATACAGGGCCAAGAGGACCAAACGGTTATTTTTATTTCTTGTAAATTATCTATATATTTTGTTCAAATATTGACACCGTTTTCATTAAAGAAAAATATTTTTAATTTTATTTCTTAGGCAAAACTGGAGCGACTGGACAAACAGGTCAACCAGGTTCTCTTGGTGTACAAGGGGATAGTGGATCCACAGGTCAGCCTGGTTTCCTTGGACCCAGTGGTTCTCAAGGTCCTCCAGGATCTGTTGGGTTCACCGGGATTGCTGGCCCAAGAGGAAGGACAGGCGCTACTGGAGTTGTCGGCCCGATGGGATCGCCTGGCTTTCCAGGTCCTAATGGTGCGATTGGATATCAGGTAAGGTTCTGTTTTTTTTTAGAATAAAATGTATTACCGCTAATAATCAGGATTATTTTTTTCAACAAAAATAATTTGGGATAAAAACAATTTTGATAACATTTGAAGGGTACGCAAGGACCTATGGGATCACCTGGTGCACAAGGATCAACCGGTTCGCCTGGAAATCCTGGTCTGCCTGGTCAACCCGGTTCTACTGGGAATCGAGGAAGTGCCGGTTCTACTGGGTATACGGGTCTTCCAGGCAACACAGGGCCCATCGGAAGTATTGGCTTTCCTGGACCTCAAGGACCGCAAGGACCGGACGGTCCTGTGGGAGATTCTGGTCCACCTGGATTTACTGGGTTTCCAGGAAGTCAAGGATACACTGGAGGAACTGGACCTCAAGGTCAACCAGGTCAACCAGGTGTTAAAGGTTCAACTGGTTTGTTTGGAAGTTCAGGAGCAACTGGTCCAACCGGTTTTACTGGGAGAACAGGGGTTAAAGGACCCGATGGGATATTCGGGGCAACAGGACCGAAGGGTGACATGGGTGCAACAGGCTTTCAAGGAAGGACTGGGATTCAAGGAGCTACAGGACAAACTGGGGGCTCAGGAATACAGGGATACACAGGAAGCACCGGTCTCAAAGGGCGAACTGGAGCCACTGGCTTCCGAGGTTATTTATTCTTGCCTTTAATTTTATTTTGACATAAAGTTTCTTTTTAATTTAAGGATTAATATTTTAAAGTTTTACAACGATAACAAGACTAACTTGAAATGTTATTCAAAAACAGCATTTATAAGACCACGAACCCAACCCAATAGGATCAACTGGTAAAACCGGAGTACCAGGATCCACCGGGCAGCTTGGTCGAACCGGAGATCCGGGCAGTACGGGGTTCATTGGTGTGACAGGTGCAACTGGAGGAACGGGCTTTACTGGAGATACTGGACTTGTGGGACCCATGGGACCTTCTTCTGATGGCACCAGCTATGATCAAGGTTGCATGATGGCGATTGGCTGAAGACGTAAAAACTACATACAAACAGCATACAAACAGCATACAACCAGCATACACACCGCATACAAACATAATACAAGCAGCATACTGACAAGATACACAAAGCGCAAACATACAACAAACATCACATTTTCCTCTCTGATCACATAAAAACTTATCTTTAAAATAAACGTCTTAATATTCTCATATACCAATAGCAAACGTGTAATCATTATATGGCAACAACATTATCATTTAACAACATCACCGTCATCATCATCATGCTTCATCATCAACAATAACAGCAGCAGCAGCAACAACAACAACAAAACATTACAACAACACTACACAGCTTTAAGGGCCGGGTGTCAAAATTTGAACTGTGACCAGGGGTGCGAAGAGAACACCTAACAATCGACCAATTGGACGGACTGCTAACTTATTCTACTCAACGGTAACAACGGTTAACATGCGAGTTCGCGTCGACAGTGGCTTCAAATGCTCCAGTTCGTATTGCTCTGTATTTTCTTTTATGCGGTTTTGTTTTGCTTTGTATTGTTTTGTATGATTTTGTAGTTTGTACTTAGTTTTGTACTGTTCTGTGTTTCTGGTTTTTAGTTTTGATTTGTGTCGGTTCGTAATTAGTTTTGTGTGCTTTTTTGTTTGTTGGATGTTTAAATATGTATTCATATGTATGTTGTTTGTTGCTTATACGCAATTTTCGTACTGTATATTTGTTAAATGCATTTTTTTTACCTGAATAACAGAAATTCTAAAATAACAAAAATGTCAAAATACTAACACTGCTACTACTACGACTACTAACACTGTTACTGCTGTTGTTGCAGTGGCTACTACTATAGCAACACAACAGGCATAAACACATGTAACATCAACACAACAGACATAAAATAACAACAACAACACAACAGATATAAACACGTGCAACTACAATAACGGCGGTTGCGCTCAAATGTGTTCGAACTCGGTCTGCTCGTGTTACACCGGCTACAAACTACAGAACGACAACGCTACATGCAAATACGAAGGTTAATATACTACACATGTAGTTAGTTGATATTGATTGATTCACATTAATGAAATATATTTCAAAATTTCGTCTCAAAAATCTCCAGACCCAAACACAGGAGCCACTATAAATACGACAACTGATACGATAAGTTGTAATGTGTTGGACGGACTCTGCGGGTATGCCTGCGTCAGGGGTGTTAATGGTCAGCCCGACCGCTGCGTGTGTCGCTCGGGTTACGAACTTTCACCCAATGGGAGGACGTGCCTCGGTCGGTTTTTTGGGGGGTGGTTTTTTGAGATGTTGAGTTTCTGGGAGTTGTTGTCTTGATGTTTTTGTTGTAGTGGGTATTAAAGAAATCATTGTTTCACTATCATAATTTTTACTACTATCATCATCGTTGTAGTTCACGCATCATCATTATTATCATCCTCACATCATTATCATCACTCGCCAACCAACTAATCACATCACACCACACAGATATTGACGAATGTGCAAGGGGTCTGACGAACTGCACAGCGCCTCGCGTCTGCCTCAACTTCGCCGGAAACTATTCATGCATCGCCATCATCTTCAAGGCCACCAAAGCCATTTTGGTTATTGGTTAGAATTTTTCAGTCACCATTTTGCTGTTTCTCGCCAATGTTTTGTTTTTGTGGGGTTTTTATCAACTTTTTTTTAATTTTTTGGCGAATTTGAAATTAATCGCCATGCCATTCAATTAAACAGCAATCATTTAATAACTCATTGGTCGACCAGTCCACCAATCAAACAAAAGAGCAAACACGTAAACAACCAACTCGCCACAGATCCCATATTCAATGCGCTGACGATCACACCGGAGCAACCCTACAGCGAGGAGGCAATCAGTCGGATAGAGACCGGTTTAAATCAGATCAAAACCGGTTCCGGCCAGCTTCAAACCTCCTTCTACGCCTTGTTAGCCTGGACGATCGTCATAGCTCTAGCCATCGCTATTCTGTCGGCTGTCATCTTCAAGATGCCCACAGCTGATAAAACAAAAGCTAGTCGTTCTGATGCCTCATCAGTTGCTTCAGTAGCCACACAATCGAATAATACTCGACAAGTATTATCCGGCGATAATTCTCTCGCTCCGACGAGGATCACGTCGGTGTCGAAGGCGTTAAATTCGTGGAACGGTACGAAATATCCGGGTAGGCCGACGTTGTGGGATAACAAAGGATCGTTTGGAAGTAGCTTCAGTGCACATTTGGACGGGGTGCTAGGTGTCAGTGAAATTAATGACTTCAATGCTGAAGACGGTGATAATGTTGATGTCGTTGACCATGGGCTGGCTCCGATACATAATAATAATATTAATAATAATAATATTATTAATAATAATAATAATAATTGTAATAATAATAACGATAGTAATAATAAGCATTTATCATCGTCGTCGTCGTCGTCATCTTCGACGACTTCATCGCAATCAACATCTCCAGCTATCTCACAAGTTGTCAACGAGGAGACCTTATCTGAAAGATTATAAATATAGTAATTATTATAACAATATTACTAATAGTAATAATAATAATTATTATTATTATTATTGTTGTTGTTATTACTATTATTAGTCTGAGAAAAATTCTTTCCACTGAGTGCATATTCACATCCTTCATCATGTTTTGTTTCTGTAAAGGCATCAATTAAACGAACGTTTTAAAATTTAACAAACGAAATTTAGCTAATTGCAATTACTTGTAAATAATTATGAAATTATAACCATATATATATATATATTATTATATATAAATATATATATATATATATAATTTTCCTCAGACATGCAATTTAATAATAATAATTCTTTTTTTTAAGTTGATTCAAGTTAATAATTTTTGATGTTTTGTTCTTGCTCACACTGTGTTAATTTTTTTATTGATTGTTTGATTGATTGATTGATTGATTGGTTGTTTGGTTGGTTGGTTGGTTGATTGATTGATTGATTGATTGATTGATTGATTGATTGATTGATTGATTGATTGATTGATTGATTGATTGATTGATTGATTGATTGATTGATTGATTGATTGATTGATTGATTGATTGATTGATTGATTGATTGATTGATTGATTGATTGATTGGTTGTTTGGTTGGTTGGTTGGTAGATTGATTGATTGATTGATTGGTTGATTGATTGATTGATTGATTAAATTAATTAATTAATCATGATTAACATTAATCATTGTTTTGACGAAATTATATTTATATTAAATTATCAATCACTTGTTTGTTTGTCTGTTTCGTTTCGTTTCGTTCCGTTTTTATGCCCATAAAATGTGTATTTTTTCAATATCTGTGTGCGTGTGCGTGTGTGTGTGCGTGCGTCCTGTGTTTATTTATTTATAATATACGTACGTAGAGTTTTTTGACTTTTATGTTATTTATTACAAAAAAACAAATACATGTACATTTACCATTGTTGCTAGCTAACCGACAAAAATTGGTAACTTTCATTTTCAAAATTCGGTTGTATATCTTTTGGCTGATAATAATGTATCGTCATAATTATATTTATAATAATAATAATAATATTCATAATTATTATATCAATAATTATAATTGATTGATATATGATATTTAGGTTTGTCAATATTATTATGAAGAGCAAAAAAACTTTTCAATGGTGCTTAGAAATTGTGTTATAATTATTTTTCTACATTATTTCCAATGTCTATGATGGTGAGGATGACTATGATGAGGATGATGATGAGGAAGATATACTCTGACATGATAACTTAATTTATTTTACTTTAATTTTAATACTTATGCAAGGTTTTTTCATCCTAATTTATGCTTTTTTTATTTTAATTGCATATTACGCTTATTTCACTGAGAAGAAGAAGCCGAAATAAATAACTTAATTTATATGTATTTCTGTTTCGTTTGTTTGTTCTTAAGATGTTAACCACTAAATTATTCTAACGATGTTTTGATCAAATCAATATATTTGATTAATTGATTTTTAAAATATTTTTTTCATTAAAAAAATTGTCTCTATAGATACTAAATTTTTTGTAAATGTGTGATGTACTTGTTAGATCAAAGAAAATAAATGTGAGAGAAAAAGTCACACGCACACACACACACACACACACACTGCTGCAGAAGCCTTCGCATATATATGCAGGCTATGCTATGTAAGCAGGTTAGTATACTTCAATTCGCCCACCTACACATTTTGAATTGAAATTAACATTTAGTGCTCAGCTGTATTTAGAAGAACGTCGCCATCTTCCAGATCGTTTCTGTCGAATTTAATTTTGCAACATATGGAGCTCAGAATTTCCGTTTTAATCGTATTTTTTTCTATCTCGGTTTTGTTCGTTTGTTCGTTTTTCCACGATGATAGTGAAAAACTGGTTAATTGGATTTTTTTATATATTTTTTTAATTTATTTCTATTTCTGGCACCAATTTACTTACATCTATCTATTCTATAAATAATATAATATAATGATAATCTATATTATAATATAATTAATTACTCAATTCAATTAGAATAGTATTTTTAATTTTTATGCAGCTGTGTGAAACATACCCCACTCAAGTTTACTTTTTATGATGATGATGATGATGATAATATTAGCTAGATGTCATTGCTAAGGTTATAAGAGTTAAATAATTGAGTAATTATTAATTTTTAATTTAAAATTTTTAGGAAATTAGTAATTCAGTAATTACTAATTAAGTAATTAGATTAGTAGTTAGCCATTAGATTCTAATTAAAGTAATTCAAATACATATTACATGATATATCTTGTTGTTAATGTTGATGGATGATTAGAGCTAAAAATTAGAGCTAATATCTTGTCTTTTAATATCCAAATAAATATTCTTTTTATGTTGATATGTATAATTTGTATTAATCTTCTACCTAAACCTTCCCAGTCAAAACTGAGCAGAGTTGCTCGTGGTTTTAGAGACGATGACTCAGCAGAAGATGATGAAAATGATGAGGCATGGAGGCAGATCTTTGCAGATGAGTACAAGCAAAACTACATGCATGACCACCCTGAAGA